TAAAGGAGTCAGTTTGGGAGGGAAAGAATCCTGGTGCATTTGTAGGCAGCATGTAAGTGAAGAAAGAAGCCAGATCTCCGGTGTTTGGGAAAGCTCCATTTCTCTCGTTGTCTTCTGCCTTCCTCTCGGCGCCCTAGAATGCAGCAAAGTCAGCTTTGGGACATGGCGACCACATGAAGACACCATGTAAGGAGAGAATAGAGGCTCCAAGAGAGGTTTTGAGATGAACCATTGAAAGCTCTCAGTAGTACAGCTCCAGGAAGGGCTGGAGGCAGGGAGGCAGTTAAGAGACCAAAGAGATGATACGGCCTGAACCACGGCAGGAGGAATCGAGGTGACCAGGTTGGACAGACATTTCGGAGGCAGAGTGTATGGGACTTGGGACAGTAAAAGAAAAGGAGTCAAGAAGACACCAGCTTTGGACTTAGACCAGGGGGTGAGTTGTGTGCCACCAAGAGAACAGGAAAAACGGATCTGATTTAGGTTTTGACCCAATAAACTTGATGAGCCTTGGTGGCTCCCAAGTGCCCATCTCAGGAGAAGGCCAAGCTGGTTGCAGAAGATGTAGATGGATGACTTGTGCAAAAAATACTGAACCCTGAGCTCCCCTCCTGTAGAATTTGACAGCTTTCGGGTGGCCTTTAAGTTCCCCCAGGCAATTCTGATTCCTAGCTCAATTGAGGAATCACTGCTTGGGACGTGTAGTAGAGATGCCCACAGGACAGTAGAAAATAAAAGTCTGAGGCTCCAGAGAGAGATCCGAGATGAAGATGGGAGTTTGGAGTTCATGAACAGAATTGATATCCGAAAGAGTAGAAGTCAATAAGATCACCCAGGTAGAATACACCAAGTATAAAGAGAAGGAACACTGCCAACATTTAAGAGATGAGCTGAGGAAGATCAGCAAAACATCTGTTTATCATTATTGTTTCCAGTTTCCATTTATTAAGTGCCTCGTACATGCCAGGCACTGTGCTCAGGGCTTGCTTACACTGTTTCTTTTAGTCTTCACAGTGGCTGATGGAGACAGGTATTATCATCCCCATTTTAAAGGTGATGCTAACAAGCCTTAGGAGGGTGTTCAGTGACTTATTCAAGGCCACACACTAAGTAGAAGATATATACCAAGTGAACATTAAAATCCAACTCTAACTCCAGAGTCCTTATTCTTTCCATATACCACTCTGCCTCCTTGAAAAAGAATGATGGCGGGAGGTGGGGGTGGGAGTGGGATGAATTGGGAGATTGGGATTGACATGTATACACTGAGATGTGTACAAAATGGATGACTAATAAGAAAAAATAAATAAATAAAAAATAAGCATTAAAAAAGAAAAAGAGGGCTTCCCTGGTGGCGCAGTGGTTGAGAGTCCACCTGCCGATGCAGGGGACACGGGTTTGATCCCTGGTCCGGGAAGATCCCACGTTACCGAGGAGCAACTAAGCCCTTGCACCACAACTACTGAAGCCCTGGCACCTAGAGCCTGTGCTCCCCAACAAGAGAAGCCGCCGCAATGAGTAGGCCCTGCTGTCCACAACTAGAGAAAGCCCACGCACAGCAACGAAGACCCAGCACAGCCAGAAATTAATTAATTAATTAATTTTTAAGAAATAAAAGAAGGACATGATCAGTGGCTCAAATACAGCAGAGATTCAGTGCAGGTAGAACAGAAAGCTGAGCTCA